ACACCCCGTCGGCACTCCTCGAGTCGGGCATGCATGAGCTATTCTGGACGGCCTACGAGCAGCTATCGGATCAGGGCCTGGCCGCCGCTGCGGTGACGCGTCTGTTTGACGACAATGAAGGGCAGTATCAGCATCGCCCCATGCGGCAAGTACAGCCGCAAACCGTCAGCAGGTACCTGAGTCTTGGGACATGCCTGGTCCAATTTTTGCTGCTGCTGGAGGCCATGCCAGCCCCCGATCCGTCCAGCTTTCTGGGCCAGGTGCTTGCCAGCCGCGGCCCTGCGGTAATCGATGCCACCGTGGCTCTGAGTGCGGGCCTGAACGCTGAAATGACCAAGAAAGAGCTGGTCGAGCCCCTCACGTCCCTGTGGCTGGCCCTGGTGGAGGTGGAGCTGAGCCTCTTTGACAACGACAAGGTGCACTTTGTCAACGTCTTCCTATTGTGCACGGCCGTGTCCAAAGGAAGCGGCATCCTGCAAGACATCAGGCAGTGGACCACGACGCCCGCTGGACTGCTGTACATTTTCAAATTGTTCCTGCTTCACCGTGGCAAGAATGAGTCGTGGTCAGTGGCCAACGAGTTGAGGCCGTATATGCAGCCCGGGCGATTGGTGCATTTCTTGAGCCAGCGCATGAGCATGGCACGAACAGCGAGCATGGCCGAGGGGCAGGCTGGAGTCGACGTCGATATCCGAGCCGATGGCGACGTGACGGACGAGACGCTGCGCACCATTGTCTGTCGAGGCATTGAGCTCAATGTGGAGGAGCTTGGGGCTGCGCTGGAGCAGATGCGCAAAGACATGACGGAAATATTGGACAAGCACCTCTTGCTCGACTCACGCCTGCGGAAAGATTACGAGAAAGAATATGAGCGGCTGCGATTGAAGGAGGATCGGACCAACAGGGTCAAGAACTGGTGGGTGGGCCATGGCAGTCCAGCCGAGAACGCGCTGTTTGATCACATTGGCCAGACCCCGAGTCTGCGGCAAGAGTTTATCCAAACCGAGCATGGGTCCAATGGCGAGCTGACCTTTCGAGAGGACAGGGTGCGGGTATGGCTCCTATATGTGCGCAGGTTCAACGAGCTAGCACTCACCTACACGCACATTGCCGGAGGTACGATTG